GTAGCACACCTGAAAATATTGCATCTTGGCCCCCACCTTTAGATCTTGGCAGAATGACACCAGCCTCAGGGGGAAGCTTCTCCCCAGTATGGCCGCCTCAAAACCCTCCATCCAGTGAGCTTCTTCCTCTGCAAAGTCATCAAGAACACAAGTTCAACATAAGTTTTGGTCAGGCGGTTTTCAGAATCATGTTTATACATAGGAATTTGTTTTGGTGTATAGTTGTGCATACATAAACAAATGCACAAATATTGAAAATAAATGTAAATGTTACAAGTAAGAACATATTAAAGGAATATGACATGTAATGCATTTAAATGTGGAAGAGCAGTGCATTTTTAGAAGTTGTAGGATTGTGCAAAGGTTCACAGTACAGAGTATAAGGAAGGAAACATGTCACAAGATGTGCCTTAGTGTTGAGACTTAGTTAAGAGTCTTAAATCAGTGGGGTCCCGTCCCTCGTTGAGGAGGTCAGTAGCTCACAGCACGTCTTGGTGGCAGGAGGTTTTTGTACTGATGGACGGCAGCGTGCCAGATAAGAGCGTTTCCCATCAGTAACTACATAACGCACCTTTATCCAGGGCCGTGGGAAGTAGGGGTGCTGCAGCACCCCCTGGTGGAGGACAGGGGATCTGCACTTCCACAAGATATAATACCAAAAAAAACGAATTTTCAACAATTTAACAACATTCATAATTAAGTAAAGATAACACCCTTTTTTTAACCCGGTTATATTTTCCCTTTGCCCTGTACGATGGGCGCTGTAGTGATGAAAGTGAGGGATGTTGGCTTAGCAGGCGCCCGCAACTCACAGCCAAAGTGAGAGAGATAGAGAGAGGGGATACCGTGGGGATACGTTATCTCAGTGAGTCGTGGGGATAGCGTTATCCAGTGAGTTATCTCAGTGAGTCTCAAACGGTTTTGGATCACAATTTACTGTAAACAAATATTTCCCAAGGTAGCACCTTTATAAATTATTCAAGGTACAATCAAAGCAGGTTGAAATCATTCCAATGTATACTATAGGACAGTAAACCAAAAATATCGTTTAAAACTGGAGAGATTTAAATATATGCATAAATAAATAAATGTTAACTGGTAAAATAAGATATGAATGAACACAAAAATAAAACAAGTTAGCCT